TGGTTCCGGCTCTGTTTCGTGGCGGGCTACCCGCTCGTCTTCTGTTCTCGGCTCCAGTTGTGAGGCTGAGATCTACGCTGGGGCTATGGCTGCACAGGAGTTACGCTGGCTCACCTACCTGCTGACCGACCTTGGAGAGCAGCCTCGTTCTCCTCCAGTCGTGTACGTAGACAACAAGGCCATGCTGGCCTTGTGTCGAGAGCAGCGACTGGAGCACAGAACGAAGCACATTGCTCTCCGCTACTTTCTTGCTCGTGAGCTACAGCAGCGTGGACAATTGCGACTTGCGTACGTGGCCTCTGAGGCCAACAGTGCTGATGTCTTCACCAAGGCACTTGCGCCTTGTGATCATCAGCGTTGTTGCACGCAGTTGGGTCTTGTGCCTGTCTTGCCTCACTTGCTCTCCTCTTGACCTTGCTTGTACCTTCGCCTAAATATACTCTTGCTCTTGCTTACTTGACTCTTGTATATCTCTATATATGATCTTGCATGTGAACTGGCCTTCTGGCCTTTGAACTTGTGCTCGGAATGCGTGGTGACTTTGTGATCCACCCTGAGCTTTGCTTTGCTTTGCTTGACTGGTCTTGTGACCCCTTGTTCTCCCCCACTTTGCCTATGGGGGTGTGTCAGAACATATAGCGTACTTGTTTCTGTAGGCTATAGTGGGGTATCCCATAGGGGGTACAACCCAAATTAGAGTTTCCTATTTGTACTCACTTCGTTCATAGTCATTTCACTCTCGTTCATATTTTCTCAATGAGCAGCCGAGTGATTTGGAGAAACTGCTGGCAACTGTACCGACCGAACTACAGGCACTACTGAAACAGTTCCCGGGGATATTTCCGGATGATTTACCACAGGGATTGCCACCTCAGCGGGCGCACGACCATAGGATCGAGTTAGAACCGGGGGCACAGCCAACTGTACAGCGGCAATTTCGACTGACACAGCCCGAGCTCGACGAATTACGGAAGCAGTTAGATTACCTGTTAGAGAAGCAGTTTATCCGACCGAGCTCGTCACCGTTCGCCGCACCGATACTGTTCACACCGAAAAAAGACGGAGGGTTCCGCATGTGCATCGACTACCGAGCGCTTAACAGGGTAACAGTCAAATCGCGATACCCCATCCCCCGCGCCGACGAACTGATCGACCAACTGCGAACAGCACGAGTCTTTTCGAAAATAGATTTACGGGGAGGTTACCATCAGATTCGGGTCGAACCATCGGACTGCGCCAAAACAGCATTTAGGACTAGGTACGGGTCATTCGAGTATACAGTAATGCCATTCGGGCTGACAAACGCGCCTGCGACATTTCAGATGACCATGAACGAGGCGTTTAGACCACTTTTAGATAAATGCGTGATAGTTTACCTGGACGATATTCTAGTTTACAGCCGGGATAAGCAGCAGCACTTAGTGGATCTTGAAGCAGTTTTAAGGTTTTGGAGGAACATCGGCTACTCACCAAGGGCTCCAAGTGCGAGTTTTTTCGGGACAGGCTAGAGTTTTTGGGTCACGTCATTTCTGAGGCTGGGGTTGAGATTGACCCAAAGAAGCTGGATACGGTAAAAGCGTGGCGCCCCCCGACGAACATCACGAAACTGCAGAGTTTTTTAGGTTTTGTTAATTACCTTCGACGGTTCGTGCCCGACATGGCACGTTTAACAGCCCCACTCACTGATTTACTGCGCAAGGGGGTCGTTTTTACGTGGGGGGAGAAAGAGCATGCTGCCTTCTCTGCCCTGAAAAACGTTCTCTGTTCACCACCCGTTCTACGCATCGCTGATCCCCACCGCCCTTTCGAAGTGGTTACCGACGCAAGTGACATCGCCATCGGAGCTGTACTGTTACAGGACTTCGGCGACGGCCTCCAACCCATCGCCTACGAATCACGCAAACTACATCCGCCTGAGCGAAATTACCCGATACACGACCGCGAAATGCTCGCGATCGTGCACGCATTCAAAGTGTGGCGCTGCTACTTGACCGGCGCAGACGTGACAGTACGGACAGACCATCGATCTCTACAGTACCTCCGTGCACAGCCCCACCTCAACCCACGACAGATTCGATGGCTCGATTTCCTCGAGTCGAATTTTCACTATACGGTCACATACGAAAAAGGAGCCTCGAATATCGCCGACGCACTGACCCGCCCCACTGCCCAGATCCACGCGATACTACTCGCCCAGACCAGCCCGCTAATGACAGGCCTATTAACCCACGGATATCAAACAGACCCGTTCTTTACAGGAGGCAACTCACAGCAATTCGCAGCGGCAAAAGGAGTCTATTACGTAAAAGCTGGAACCGACCGCATCTGGGTACCAGGATACACGCTACTGCGGGAACTACTGTTACAGGAAGCACACGACGGAGTTACCTCAGGACATTTCGGGGTAGAAAAAACACGGCAGCAGCTCCAGCGGTACTACTACTGGCCAGAAATGTTGACCGATGTGCAACGACACGTGGCATCGTGCCCCACTTGCCAGCTCATGAAGTCAAGCAGGAAGCGACCGGCGGGACAATTACAACCCATCCCGCCCCCAGAGCGTGCCTGGCAGCAGGTGACGATGGATTTCGTCACGGGGTTACCAGCTGGGGCGAGTGGGAATGACGCGATCCTGGTCGTCGTCGATCGACTAACGAAGATGGCTCATTTCGCAGCATGCAGGAAATCAATCACAGCCGAGGAAACCGCCCGACTCTTCATCACCACCGTCGTTCGACTGCACGGGATACCCGCATCGATCATCAGCGACAGGGACACGAAATTTACAAGCAACTTCTGGAGGAACCTGTGGCAGCAGTTCGGCACGCGCTTACAGTTCAGTTCATCCTATCACCCCGAAACCGACGGACAGACGGAACGGACAAATCAGACCATGGAGCAGCTGATTCGAGCCACGTGCGACGATCCAAATATGTGGGAACAACAGCTGCCACTCATCGAGTTCGCATACAATAACGCACCATCAGCCACAACGCAACAGTCGCCGTTTTACTTGAATTACGGACAGGACCCAACAGTACCCATGACACCGAATCCCGACAACCCCGTCCCACGAGCACAACAGTTCGCCGAGATTCTGCAAGCAGCACGGACCAGGGCAGCAGAAGCAATCAAAAAATCAAACATCATCGCTAAACGCAACGCCGATCGCCATCGCAGACCCGTTACTTATCAGCCCGACGACCTCGTTTTACTCGATACTCAGAACCTCCGCCTGCCCATCACTCCAAAACTCCGCCCTCGATACTGTGGGCCATTTCGAATCAGTCACATGGTTACGCCAGTCACCGCGCACCTCCTCCTCCCTGCTGACTGGTACGTCAGCCCCTCGTTCCACGTCAGCTTACTTCGCCCTTACGTGCCATCCACCAGCCAACTCCCACGACATCGACCCACCAGCATGACACGACCACCAACCGAACCAGCCATCACCCCCGACAAGATCCTGAGCCACAGAGTTCGCGACCCTCGAGGAGCCCGAAAAGTGGAGTTTCTGATCCGCTGGAAAGATCATACCCCCACCGAGGACAATTGGGTTCCCCTGGAGAAAGTTGAAAATCACCCCGTCGTCACCGACTCCCTGCGTAGCCGCAATTTCCGAGACATCCACGCGCTTTCATAAGGAGGACCTCCTTAGGAGGGGGGGTAGTGTAAGGAAATTCCCTTTTCCTTACTTCGCGTCCCTGCTCAACGCGTACATCACTGTAGCACCTCAGTCAACACCGTTACCACTCGCGACCATCGCATCATTCATCATCCCGCCCTTTTCGCACATCGCATCCCGACCTCACGGCTCGGCTGGTAACCCGCGCTCCGGACCTACGCTTCGACACTTTCCCAACCTCAGTCCCAGGCTCGTCGCGCGACCATTACCGTTACCACGGTAGTTTCGCTATATAATGTTCGCTCATGCCTTCGCTCATTTGTATTCTTGCTTCGATAGTGCAATTCTCGTTCGTTCACTCAATTGCACTCGTAACACATTCCAAAACAAAACAAAAATACTTCATCTTCAAGTGGACCCAACTAGAAGTGGGGGGGTCACTATTTTGCCTGCTGGCTTTAATAGGTCAGCTGGTGACCAGGAGCTGCTTCGCCGACGGTGCTGGGGTCTACGAACTTCGCGAATGATCGGCTGTTTCCCGCGACTGCCCTCCCGCTGCGAAAGTCCGGTCTTCTGTTCCTCAGTGGCGACGAACCGCATTTGTGTCAGCACTTCGCCAACATTCGAATATTTCCATCACGACACGCCATGCCTGGGCCACTTCACGCGGTCCTGTCCCCTCCGCCCCGCAGTCACACACACCCTTTGGTCAGGAAGGCAGCTTATGATCCATCCGATCGTAAAAACAACCCATCTAGACCGTCCGTTTGTTCGTTTCCAGTCCGTCGACTGAAATTGCTCGGATCGCATCGCAGGCACAGCCAGGCAATCTCGAAGCACCTCGATTATTTCGCCGTGCCTTGGAAATTGCGACTGCGAGCTTCGGTCTGTGCAGGGTTGAGTATCTGCTGGTCGCGTGTTTCTCAGCGAACCCACACTGCTGTTGCTAGTTTCTCCCAACCCACACGTTGCTCACAAATATATGCGCAACTTACAATTGTCTCGTCACGTCGATCACAATTATATGCGCTAGTTTGTTACACACGCGGCTGTTGCTAGCCAACGTAGCGTAGCCTGTGATCTAGCCGTGATCGGGTGATATAAGGTCGCATCTGTGCTACGCTAATCACCTCCGTACTTACAAATAAGCAAAGCCGTAGCTATACCTTATACTTACCGCGCCCCGAACGCCAATATCTCTTTGGCATCGACTAATTCTCCGAGAGGCACTACGTTTCGCCTATAATAATTACCGTGGGCGTTTTCGTGACTCTAAGCTTAGTAATTTCTATTATTCTTTCGTACTTCGAGCCTTCACGGCTCCAACAAGAGCTGTTATTCGTTACAAACTCGATATTGGCAGACTTAACGTTGTATGTACCGAATTGTCGGAGCTAGTCGGTCGAGAAGGCAAAACGACGAGATGCTGGTAAGCCTACTAGACACCGATGCTTATTATAAGGTATTGGAGTGGTTCGAGCGTTACTCTGGTTTTTTGTCTATCAGTCAGATTGACTTTCTTCGTGAGCAAGCAAGTGGCTCGGACTATCTCCTTGCCCACTTCTGTAAGCCGCTTCTGGCGACAGAATGCGAGTGGTTCTGGCCTTTCAAGCATGAAAATGCTTGCAATTTGCAACGTGCTGATTGTGACGAAGTTTCTCAAGCACGAAGAAAACCCACCACCAACGTTTTTTTACCGTGTTTACAGCTACGCGCATAGTTGCTGAATTCCTTTCTGTTTATTTTATCCACCTGCGGTAAGAAAAACTGTCGCAAAAAATAAGGAGAACGTGATCCACACCCTCATTTGTAAACAAATCCAGAGTTTCTGCAAAAATCGATAGTACATGAACCACGCCCTTGGGAGCTCCGCCGACATTCTCAAGGTGCAGGTAGAGAGGCAGTCTTACGCTCCCTTTCATTCTCTTTCGCTCTCTTTCACTCTTTTCCGCTGCTTCCTCCAACGTTTCCCCCCTTCCTCAACCACCCCTTTCCCCTCATCCCCTCCCGATCCTCCTCCTTTCGTGTTTCCGCCGCCTTTCGTTTTGCGTGACTTGATTCCCGACAGTTCCGAGCGGCGAAGACGGTGGTATGCTGCACTCTCGGGCCCATCGTATGGGGATTGCTATCCCTGCTCTTCCTCCTCCTTATCGCCCTTGGAATCACGGCACTTGTGCTCTACTTCGTGTACAAACCGCAGGTTCGTCGCCTGATATTTTCAGCTTCAACGCTTACTTCTTTTTCCATACGCTTGTGACTGGTGCTTTGATTGCCCTACTGTATGTTTGTCTCTGCCTCCCTTCCCTTTCTTATTGCTTACCGAAATGGTATTTCGTTTCTTTTTTACTCCCTCTCTCCATCCTTCCAGCTACCTGAGTGCGACGTACAGAACGTAACAGTAAACAGACTGAACGTCACTCGCCTGACTTCGTTTCCCTTCAACGAAACGGCCTACGCAGCTCTAGCCACCTTGAGCGCCGCCGACAGAGCAGCCGCATTGGGCGTCCCAGGCAACTACAGCGCCAAATCAACTGACCCATCCTCGCCATCAGCATCTCCGTTATTAGCATCTCCACTAGATGCTCTCGGGAATGCCACCGTGCCGCCAAGGCTCGGTCTGAATGCTGACGTGGGATTCACGCTGGAGACGCGGAATCCGAACAAGGTCGCCATTGATTATAAATACGTGAATGTGTCGATTATTTACAGAGGCGTCACTGTGGGAAACTCGTCGGTAAGTCCTATGCCATGCTCTTTCTTTCTCCGGAACTCCCAAACTTTCGTCGCAACGCGTCTGCCAGTTTCTTGCCTCTTCAAAGAGCTAGTTGTTTCAACCATTGTCTCTCTGTTGACTCCCTATACGGGCATTGCCTTCGTCAAGAGATATTTGTTTTAACCTTACAAAACATTCCTTGCCTACGTCTGCTTCTTAACCACTTCTTAGTCTCTCTGTTGACCCCCCATACGGGCATTCGGGGTCTTTCAGCTTCGTATACTTTTGGATTTTATACTAGCTCGCAACGCTCTTTTCGGATTGTCCCCCGGCTGCTGCAGATTCCGCCATTCACGCAGCAGGCGCAGACCAACACGAGTGTACCAGCAGAGCTCCTAGTGCTAGACTTCCCACTCGATATAGTCACGGGGCCTGTCATGCTGGCAGATTTGAACGCTGGAAACGTTCCCCTACAGGTACTGCTCCTCTACATGTTGTGTTCCCCTACAGGTACTGCTCCTCTACATGCTGTGTTCCCCTACAGGTACTGCTCCTCTACATGTTGTGTTCCTCTACAGGTACTGCTCCTCTACATGTTGTGTTCCTTTGCACGCAATCTTCCTCTAGAGTTCCTTTTCAGGTTGTTCTCCTCTCTGCATCCTTTGTGGCATCCGCTCGTTTGGCTTTACCTTGTTTTGAGTCAGACTCAAAAGAATCATCTGCTCTTGTGCATTCCTCTTGTGAGCACGAGCCCTATCTTTTAGAATTCTCAGGAACCTCTGCGTCCTATTATCCCCATGTCACAATCGCTGCTTTAACTTGAAGAGAAGGCTCGCAATTCAATCGAGACGCTACAGTTGCGTCTCACAAATCTGTTTTCAGTTATCAGAACTTCAGCACTTGAGATGCCTCCTATCCCACTCTGCTCCCCTGTCCCTATGGAACAGTTGCTGCTTCAACTAGGGGCACGGATTAACATTTTAGGGGTGGCATCTCCGTTTGCTCTGGTGAGTCCGCATGCCCTTTCTCTTCCCTGTAATCTGGGTGAGTTTGCATCCCTGGACCTTCCCCTTTGTATGTATATACAGCCTCCAATTTCTCTTTAACTGATCGTTTTTTCTATGGCGCCCCTTTTTACTCATTACTCTTGATCCCTCTGCGTGTTCCCTCCCGCTCCGTTTTTCACCAGGTTGGTTTGTTGTGCGATGTCACAGCTGATCCAATAACGCGGACAGTGAAAAGCACAAGTTGCTCGTTACAAAACGTTGGTTTTGCATGAGTTACTGGGAAGGAGCTGCACATACGGGACTCGTGGAGAATAGAATGATATATTTTGATGTGAAATGTACGATAATTTACTATAAGGTGGACGTTTACTGCATGATAATGTAGTGCCAAAGCATCTAATTATGTAGAGGTTTGTTGCTTGTACCGCAAGTTGTGGCCCTAAGAGGCTGGTGTTCGCTTTACATCTTTCATCGCTGATGTAACAAGGATTGAATTGCCTACTGTACTCTGGATGTAACAAGGATTGAATTGCCTACTGTACTCTGCATGAGGCGTTGCATTGGGTAAAGGAAGGGTACCGTATGACACATACCGTATGCAAAGAAGTACTAAAGGGAGTTAATTTCATTCTAGATTACGGTAGAAGCACTGCATAGCCATTTCAATTCTGCAAAAAACGTACACCATTTCTGACTGCTAAGTCCTGCCTAACAAATGGCATATCCTAGAAAAGTCTGCAGTTCATCTAGAGTGAATCCCTAACAGCATGTGCACATGCTGCTTCTACTATGATTACCTCCAGAACTAAATGTACGGTACCACCCACCACAGACACACGCATGCCTTCCCTTTGGTACGTCACCGGAACACTACAGTGACAAGACAGTTGCAGTCTTGACCCTTCCCAGAATTGCCTCGTGTGTCATCTCCCCGTCGTCCTCCGTGTCTCCACCACCATCCACGTCATCATCACCACCATCCTCGTCAGCATCCACACCATCCACGTCAGCACAACTAATGTGATCGTCCATATCATCCATATCAGAATCCCCTGCGTCCTCCGTGTCACCCCATGGCCCCAATTCCCGCCCCTCCTCTCCTTCATCCTTGTCCCACTCTCCATCCCCTCCCATCCCATCCTGCTCTCCCTTCCACCCCTTCCCTTCCTCCTCCCAGTCCTTTCCACCTTTCATATCTGTCTTCTTCATCCCACCCTCCTCCTCAGTCCCCATACCAACCCTCTCCCTCCCTCCCCCTCTCCCCTTGATTGCCCCTCCCTTCCAAACCAGAGGAACAGAAGTCCAGGTAGGCCCCCCTGCTGCCATCACCCCAAGCCTTCCCGCACCTCTATCCACCCCTCCTGCCGAACCTCCTGCCGAACCTCCTGCCGGACCTCCGCCCGAGCCTCCGCCCGAGCCTCCGCCCGAACCTGCAAGGTCGCAGCAGAGGGCATCCGAGGCTGGAAGGAGGGTACCATCGGAGATTTGGAGGTATCCCCCGAAGAGGAAAATTCGATTCTTGAGAATGGTGTGCTCAAAGTGAATGCGCGGCAACAGAGGGTGGAGAGGGAAGAGCGGAGCAGGAGCAGCAGGAGCAGCAGGAACAGCAGGAACAGGAGCAGGAACAGAAACAGGAGCACGAGCAGGAGGGAGAGGAGGGATGCGAGGACGCTGGTGCAGCTGCTGCTGCTGCTGCTGCTGCTGTTGCAGTTGGTGCTGCTGCTGCTGCTGCTGGTGCCTCTGCTGCTGCTGGTTCTGGCCTTGTCCCTGGTGCTGCTGCTGCTGCTGCTGCTGCTGCTGCTGCTGCTGCTGCTGCTGCTGCTGCTGCTGCTGCTGCTGCTGCTGCTGCTGCTGCTGCTGCTGCTGCTGCTGCTGCTGCTGCTGCTGCTGCTGCTGCTGCTGCTGCAGGCTTGCCAATCCAAGGTGGTTACGAGTGGGATGTGTGGCATACGTGGGAGGCACCTGCAGCAATAGTTCCACAACCATGCAGCAAACACACAGCAAACAGGGACAACCACACATCAAACACACACAAAACACACAACAAACTCCAGACAGCCATTTCGCAGCCATGCCACAGCCATTCGCAAACATCCCAAATATGTCTGTTGGTTTGGACAAACGAGAGAAGGGATGCGACGGGAAAAAGCAGAGGCAAGTGGGAGAGAGGGAGAACTCCTGCCTTCCTACCTCCTGCCATGCACTCACCTGTAACACCGTCCTGGCTTTGGTAACCGCGTCGTACACGTGCAGACACCCCTCCCTCCTCCAAACCAGGAAGTGAGGCACACACCCAACGCCCCACCGTGCTGCTGCATGCTCCAGCAGCCACGTCTCGGGGTGCAAACCCATGTCTCCCATGCACATGCATGCCCTTACCTGCAGCACCTTCCTCCCTCCCTTTAGATGTCCACTCCACCCACTGCTCACCTGTAACACTTTTCTGCCTTTGGTAACCGCGTCGTACACGTGCAGACACCCTTCCCGGCGCCAAACCAGAAAGCGAGGCACACACCCCACGCCCCACCGCGCTGCTGCATGCTCCAGCAGCCACGTCTCGGGGTGCAGACCCTTGCCCGGGGGGAGAGAGACCCACGTGTGGGTAGCAGGGTCGTACATGCACACTAGGTAGGGCGAGCGGGCGGAAGAGGGGTTGAGAGTGGTGGTGGTGTTTGGAATGGTGTTGTTGGGGGTCCATACCCCACGAGCAGCAGCAGCAGCAGGAGGAGGAGGAGGAGCAGGAGGAGTGGTAGCAGCTGCACCAGTGGCAGCAGCAGCAAGAGAGGTGTTTCGGTTGGTGAAAGCTGCAGTCACGAAGTTTGCAGCAGCAGCAATAGGTGCCGCATTAGCAGCATCAGCAGCAGCAGCAACAGTGGCAGCATCAGCAGCAGCAACTCTGGCCCCACCCAATTGAAGCGCATCAGCAGCAACATCTGTAACCGAAACCCGAAACTGGTTCCTCCCGAGCAGAAACAGCCTCCCAGCCAGCACCACACCACTGCACTCATAACACGCACTCGGCATTTCCGGAACTCTCTCCCACACATCAGCTTTCAGATCGTACATTTCAACGGTAGAGAGCGGTTCACACGCCCTCCCTCTCTCCCATAGCCGCCCTCCCGCTACAATCACCTTGCCTTTAATCACTCCGAACGCGAACCCCACCCGACCCTGGTTCATAGGCGCGGCACGCACCCAGATGTCTCGGGCCGGGCTGTACCTCCAGACCTGCACCTCACGTTCGGCAAGCTCAGGGTTGGGAGAATCTGCTCCAGGTTCGGCAGTATCAGCAGCAGCAGCAGCATTGTCAATTGCAGCAACAGCAGCCGCTGCTGCTGCAGCCATAGCGGTTCGGTCCGGGGCTGCATCCGAGGTTCGGGTCCAGACACGGTGCCGAGCCTTTGTCGAGCCTCGGACGGCAAAGAGGAGGAGTTCCGAGCCTAAGGCTTGGAGGCGGCAATCCCATAGGGAACTAGTGTCGGTAGGGTTGGCGAGTTGGGGAGGGAGGGGGGAGAGGGGGTAGAGGGAGTTGGAGGGAGGATGAAAGCCAATCAGACGAAGGCAAGAGGGAGGAGAGGGGGAGGAAGCAGAGGAGGAGGCAGAGGAGGAGGCAGAGGAGGAAGCGGAGCGGGAGGCAGAGGAGGAAGAAGTCGATGAGGAGGAGGGGTGCAGTAAGGAGGAAGAGGGGAAGGGGGTGGTGTGTTGGGTCTGACTGGAGTGCTTTCCACTTCCAACTGATTCCGTGTTGGGATAATCCTTGCTTGTGCTGCCGACATCACTGCTCCTTGTGGTGCTGCCCGTGCTTGCAGGTTGTGTGCCCGTTGCTGGTGTGGCTGAACAAGCAGTCTGGCCATTCGCGCTCATCGTGCGGCGCGAGTGGGAGGAGAGAGGCGGCTTCTTGGTGCTTGATCTCGCTGCTGCTGACTCGCTGCATGCACCTGCAGCTGCGACTCCTGCTGCTGATGCTGATGCTGCACCTGCTGCTGCCGATGAGAAAACAGCAGATGAGGCTCGTGGGATAGAGGAGGAGGTGATCCGTGGCAGGTGGGAGGTGGACGGATGGGAGGAGGAAGAGGAGGGACGGGAGGAAGTGGACAAGGAGGAAGAGGAGGGAGGCACTCCAAGATCGGAGATGGAGAGGGTGGGGAGGGAGAAGCGAGTGTTGAGGGAGAACTGGAGACCCCTACTTGCTGTCACTGCTGGCGCTGATTCCTTGCCCTTGCTCAACGAGGGAATGAGTTGCAATCCCTTGCCCTTGCTGCAACTGTCACCCCCGCTGCTGCTGCTGCTGCTGCTGCTGCTGCCGCTGCTCCTGTGGCTGTTGCTAAGCGTGCCATTCTCCCCTCCGCCCCCTCCCACCTCTGCCTTCTTCCCTTTATCAGCACAACGGCCATTCCCTTTCCCCACTCCTCCTCCTCCTCTCTCATCTCCACTTCCTCTCCCATCCCCCTCTCCTTTCCTCCCCACCGCTCGCCCAATCCTCTCAGACCTACCCCTTTCCTCCCTGCCCCATCCCCAACCACCCCCCCTCAACGAACCATTCGCTCTCTCGCTGCTATCAACCACTTCCTTTCCCTTCCCTCCTCTCTCGTCCCTGCCACCAACCCCTCTGCTGTTGTTGCTGCTGCGGCTGTTGCTGGTGCTACTGCTGATGCAGCTGCTGCTCCTGCCTATGCCACTCCAGGCCCCACTCCCATCGTTCTTTCCCTGTCCCTGTCCTTGCTCCGACCTGCCTCTTCGTTCCATGCTACTCCCTTCCTCTCTGCCCCTGCTACTGCTACTTCTGCTTCGAAAATTGCTGTTGCTGCTGCTGCTACTGCCGCTCCTACTGCTGCTGGCTCTGGTATCAAGTCCGCTTGTGCGCCTAGTGACAACACCACCCGGAATCCTGCTGTTCTCCCTCCTACTGCTGTCGTAGCTGCTTCTTGCCCTTCTCTCCTCACTCCTCCCTCTGCTCTCTCCACCCCTCTCCCTCCCATCCACACCCCTCCCCCGCCCTTCCCCACTCCTCCTCCTCCCCTCCATCACACTCCTTCCCCTCCCCTCCGCATTCCCATCACCAACACCACTCCCATCACCAGCACCACCCCCCTCGCCCCCTTCCCAAGGCACAACCATAAATACCCACTCTTCCAGCCTCTTGCTCCTCCTCCTCAGCTCCCGAACGTCCTCCCCTGCCAAACCTCGCTCCCAGGCTCGGCAAACTGACCGGCCCGAAGCTAGGTTCAACCATGGAAGTCGGGAAAGGATGTCCAACCCAACGTCATCGGGCAGGTTCGGAAACAGGCCCGGCACAGCCTCAGGCTCAAGTTCAGGAGAATCGTGTCCCAGGGACTTCTCTCCAGGTTCAACTCCAGGTTCGGGACCAGGTTTGATTGCAGGTTCGGGTGCAGGTCCAGCACGAGGTTCGGGTTGAGCCTGTGGCTGTTGGTGAAGCTCAGCTTCAGGTTCGGTTGTGGGTTTGAAAAGCATCCCTCCATTGCTGGTTTGCTCAGTTGACCCAACCATGGCATCATGCATGGCAAAACCCTTGCCTGGTGGTATACCACCAGCTTGCGTGGCGTCAACAGCACCCATACCACCACCTCCCACACGATCAACTCCCAAGCCGTCCTTGCCCTCATGCTGCTGCTCACTGTTTTGCTGCTGCTCACTGTTCTGCTGCTGCTCGCTGTCCTGCTGCTGCTCACCACTCTGCATAGCATCATGGCAAACGGTGCTGCATTCTGCTGCATGTCCCCTGTCGTGAACCATGCCATGCTGTGTCCCATGCACCCCCATCACATCCTCCTCCCCATGCAGAAACGGCCACGGAACCACAGCAGGCGGGCACTCTCGCGCTCGCGCACACGCCCCCCTCTCTGGTAAATCTGAACCAGACTCAACAGAAGCCTTTTGGGGCGCCTCAAGTACAGACTCAAAAGAAGCAGACTCAATTGCAGCAGACTTTCGAACTTCCCCAAGTTTGATGGAAGGAAGGCTCCCAGCAGCTGCCAGGCACGGCCAGTGTACGGTGCTGCTGGTGCCACCAGCAGCACCGGCAGCAGCGGCAGCACGGACAGCAGCGGCAGCAGGAGCAGCAGCAGCAGCAGCAGCAGCAGCAGCAGAATGGTGCATGCTGTTTTGTCCTGATTGCAAGCCGTTGGATCCTTCACTGCTGCAATCCCCACCGTCAGCAGCACTGCCACTCCCAACAAGACCGTCAATTTCACCATCGTAATTGCTGACATCAGCATCACCACCATCACCACCGCCAGCACCATCACCACAGCCAGCACCATCACCACCGCCAGCACCATCAGCACCATCACCACAGCCAGCACAATCATTACCATCCTGATCACTGTCATCCACGTCAGCATCCGCATCATAGAACAGCGCATCATCATCCTCGTCATCACCATTTTCTGCTGACGCATCATTAGTCTCTGTCACGTCAGCAGCAGCCACGTCATCACCGTACACGTCACTACCCATGCTATAATACCTGCTACTACCAATACTCAATCCTCTGCTCCTCCTGCTCTCGCCTCCTTCCCTCCTCGCCCTACTGCTGCCCCTCCTCCTCCCCCCAGAAAGCACACTACCCTCAGCAATACTGCTGCTACTGGCGCTTTCCCCCATACAAGCAGAAACAGCCTCACGATCACACCCGTTACTATCACCTCCTGCTGCACCCTCATCTGGTCCCTTCCCATCCGTTACAGGCACAACCCTCCTCGCCCTCCTCCTGCCACCCTGGCCACACACACCCAGCAATCGCACCCTCCTTATAATCCCACCTCGCTGCTTCTCACAACCATCACCATCAAACCCCTCCTTGCCCTTACCCTTGCCTCTCTCGTTGCCTTTGCCCCGACTCCTATCACCAACCCCATCTGTACTACTATCTGGGGTGTTTTGCTCGTTTACCCTCGGGGAAACTTCACAATAAGCATCACGGGACCTCCTCCCGCTGTCGTGATTGCCTTTCCCTGCCACAGCAGCAAGCGGTCTCCTGCTTCTGCTGCCGCCCGCTCTCTTGCTGCACAGCCAGCAATAAGGATCGCTGGGAGAGGTTGCTGCTGCTGTTGACGATGATGCTGACGTGGAAGATACTGCATCTGACGTGGCTGATGCTGTTGCTGACGTGGAAGGGAGCTGGGACGAGCGGCGGGAGGAGAGAGGGGAGGAGAGGAGCAGAGGGAGGAGGAGGGATCTCACACGGTGATGGGGACAGACAGGACCCCGCACGGAGGTTGCGATGGACGGCTGTGATTCATTCAACCGATCTGATTGTGCTGATCGACGGCTGAGAGCGGCTTCACCAGGATTCGAACCAGAGCCATCCGCGTTATAAGCTGGCTCGCATGCCATATCTACGTGCAGACAGATCACGCGGAGGTACGGAACGGTACGAATTCTCCCTCAAATTGCTTCCCCCGCTTGCACTGATGCTACTTATGCCATAACAATTGAAACTGCGAAAGAGATTTCAACCGACTGAAATCGAGAAGAGGTGCGCGCAACGACAAGCCACCCGTCCTGCTCGATTATGACTACCGAGCAATCCATTCTTCTCGAATCTATGGCCGCTATGACATGAACGATTCGTCCACGCGATCAGCCCCAGTCGCCTCGACGACTCCAATCGCGCAGAGCGCGCCTCGCGATAGTTCGCGAAGTGGCGCGAAAGCCTACGACGATATGAAATTCGGGCCTTGCGACAGCCTCGGACGGTCTGGCGTTAGGCGCGGCGTCGTCGCCAGGCGCGTGACAAGCCATGTTCAGATTCGGAGGATGGTCACACCGAGGACCTAGGGAACGCCGTGGATGGGGAAACCTAGAGACTGCTTGCCAAGTTTGCAGCTGCCTCCTATCAGCAGATGCTCGGTTGGAGAATGCGAAGCGGCTCTGGTGAGATTGGGTGAGATTGGGTGCTCTGGTGAGACTGGGGTGTGATCTCTAGGGGCAATTTGAAGAAGCATAGGACAAATTCTAGGCGGGAATCACATACGCGTTAATGTGCCAGCTTGCATTCTGTAACGTGGTGTGGTTCTGTTGGTGTGGAGTACACATACGTGTGCAAGATTCTAACTGCGGCTCACAGTTTTACAAAACTGCTTCTCCCAACAAGTCCACTCCCTGTAACCTAAATCGGGTACAGATTCTCATTTGATCATCGAGGGAGCAGCGAATCAAACGGGAACTAGGTGATGAAAGCACCATGCTCACGCGCCGCAGGGATCTTTCTACGCGGCGCTTAGGGGTTGCCGGAACCAGAATCAGTGATTTATGGCTGGTCAGGCACAGTACTGATGTGACTGCTAGTGGTCGGTGACTAAACGGTTGTATTTCGTCTTCAGTTCTTCCTAGTACTCAATCTCATCATACTAGGTACACCGAGACGCCTGCTAAGATAGATCGAATGGCATTCAGCAACAGCTACTCTTCTGTAACCCTAAACTCGCGAATTCGATCCTTCCGTATCGCATTCTCCCAGATCTCCTGGACGCGGCGCGTACCACGTCAGTCCGTGACGAAGGTCTCACGCTCGTTGACACGTGTCACAACATCAGTGGTCTGTAGAGCTCGCACTAAGCCCGATGCTATGACGGAAAGTGCAGTAGATTATAAGAGGATCGATTCTGAAAATCCCGAGATAGAGCCGCGAAATGCGAATCAAAGTGGAGGAGAAACTGAAAGAGATATGAGTTTCCAACCTTCAGCATCACCCGGCAATGACCGAACAGAATCCAGCCAATCAGAAGCCAGTGCGGATCGGTGGTTGTCTAATCGCAGCCGTTTATTCGGGCCTTCGGTGATCGTGGAGGTAACTCAGCTGGCGAAGAAGAGAGGAGCCATCAACCTGGGGGAAGGTAATCCCAAGGCTAGGTATTCTGAAAAATAAGAACATTTTCAATTGTTTTTGTTCAGAGGTGACGCCGCTATCAAAGACGTAAGGAGCCTTTAATCTTAAAGAGAGACGCACAAGGTTGCATACGCCCTCGGATGGTTAGTGGTGTGCCTGGACCGGGTTATGAAACGGCTTGAACCTAGTAGACTCTCTGAGACGTTTAAAGATTCATTAGGTGCATACGACGGTCTGTAGTATGACTAGTTGATGATGGCAAGAAACAGGAACGTTGATGACATCATGGGATGTGTGACCTCAATGTGCATGGCGTGGCATGGCATGGCGTGGCACGGCATGGTATGGAACGGCATGGTATGGAACGGCATGGTATGGAACGGCATGGCATGAAATGGTATGGCATGGCATGGCATGGAATGGTTTGGCATGACATGGCATGAAATGGTATGGAACGGCATGGCATGAAATGGTATGGCATGGCATGGCATGAAATGGAATGGCATGGCATGGCATGAAATGGTATGGCATGGCATAGGCATGAAATGGTATGGCATGGCATGGCATGAAATGGTATGGCATGGCATGGCATGAAATGGTATGGCATGGCATGGCATGAAATGGTATGGCATGGCATGGCATGAAATGGTATGGCATGGCATGGCATGAAATGGTATGGCATGGCATGGCATGAAATGGTATGGCATGGCATGGCATGGCTATGGTGGCACCATCTATTCAGGATTCCCAGACTATGCTGCTCCTCCAGCTCTCAAGGACGCAGGGATGGCTGCCATTGCTTCTGACGTGAACCAATACGAGTGAGTGAGTGGTCAATGCAGCTGTTCTTTTCAAGATATCTTGAAAGGTGCTGCTGACGTGAAGCATACGAGTGGGAGAGTAGTGCAGCTGCTTCTTTTGAGTCGTCTCAAGCGTCTGTCAAGGAATCAGGGATGGCCGCCATTGCTGCTGACATGAACCAATACGAGTGAATGAGTGGGCAATGTCTCCCTCGTCCCTCACTCACTACTCGCTTTTCGCTCTCCTCATTTTTCAACCCTGCCCTCTTCACACACATCTCATCAAATCTTTCCCTCTTCTGTCTTTTTCTCAGCCTGGAGTTTACTTGTTTCCTCCTGGAAAATTGAAGAATAACAGTAAAAAAAAAAAAAAACGCAACATAACCCCTGCGTCTGGCCTCTTCCATCTCTCCAACCCCCCAGCTACAACACATCTCTAGCAGAACTCGTGGCACGCACCTTCTCAGAAGCTTCTGGCATTCCAGTGGATCCAGACACGGAGGTCGTGCTCAGCTCCGGCCAGACCTGCGCATTTGCCTCAGCATGCCTGGCAGGTTTGGTTTGTTTCTGCATCGCCATGCCCTTTATTTCCCTTTACTTACCTTTCAACTCCAATGCTTGAAACTGAAAAAACTCGCCATAATTCACTTCTCGCTCCTGCTAAACTCTTCTGAAATTCTCTGTCATCTGCTTTTCCTCTGAACCCTTCTTCAAGCTGGAAATCTACACCCTGCCATCTGCTCTCTCCTGTCTTCTTCTCTCTCTTCCGTATCCTCCCATGCCATAATGGCATCCTGCAGTGTTCCAACCTGGTGATGACGTCATCCTGTTCGACCCTGCCTTTGAGGCGTATCACGGGGCCATTCTGATTGCTGGTGCTAACCCGGTGGGTGGGCGGGTTGGGTGGGCGCGGGTGCGTGAGGGAATAAAGAATTTCAAATGCTACCACGGGGCTTGCCCCTCCTGTCTCTCAATGACTTTTGAGAATTCTCAAGATTTCTCAAGAAATCTTTAATCCGCAAGAGGCTACCACGGGGCTTGCCCCTCCTGTCTCTCAATCAATGCCATTCCCACCCTCCGGTCCATGGCCTATTCCTGCTTTTGAGTCGACTCAAAAGCAGTCTCTCAATGCCATTCCCACCCTCCGGTCCATGGTCTATTCCTGCCTGCCTATCCATCCATGCCAGGTGTACGTGGCTCTCACTCCTCCCCACTGGTCGATCGACTTCACCCGTCTCGCAGCCGCCCTCACTCCACTCCCTCATGATGCTACTCTCCTGCTTACCCTTCCCTCCCTTGACCATTCGCTCCCTCCCGTCCGTCCATCCCAGGTGTACGTGCCACTCTCCCCTCCCCACTGGTCCATCGACTTCGCCCGTCTCGCAGCCGCCCTCACTCCACCCACTCTTGATGCTACTCTCCTGCTTACCCCTCCCTCTTTTGACCATTCGCTCCCACCTATCCAGGTGTACGTGCCTCTCTCTCCTCCTCATTGGTCCATCGACTTCACCCGTCTCGCAGCCGCCCTCACTCCACGCACCAAAGGCATCATTCTCAACAGGTGCGTCATTCGTCTCAACACGTGAGTCAAAATAATCTCAACAGGTGCATCGTTCGTCTCCTTGTCAATTCGCCCCTCGCCTTGTTCATCCGTTTCTTCACTCTAGCCGTGCTTGTTCGTTTTGGAATTAGTAAGTTTCACGGACCGGTACTGGTGAAGGTTCCTTTTAAACCCCACCAGCGGGCTGTGTGTTTTTCCCCTCTCAGCCGACTCAAATTGCCTGGTTCTGCACAGGTCACGACCTCGTGTAGAGAGGGTGTTTTTGAGTCGTCTCACTTAAATTCAGCCGACTCGAGTTGCCTACTTCTGCACAGGTCACGGCCTGCCAGCCGTCACAGATGTGGCGTCTCAAAAGTCTGGACAGGTCACGCCCTGCTGCCGGCTATATTGGTTCGACTTTTGAGAATTCACAAAAGTCGCCTCAAAAGTCTTTACAGGTCACGACCTGCCGGCTATATTGGTGCGACTTTTGAGAATTCTCAACAGCCACCTCAAAAGTCTGGACAGGTCATGCCCTGCTGCCGGCTATATTGGTGCGACTTTTGAGAATTCTCAAAAGTCGCCTCAAAAGTCTGCACAGGTCACAACCTGCTGCCGGCTGTCACAGATGAGGAGTACATCGCTTTCCCCTCACCGACCAATCAACCTGCAGCCTCCCTGCTGCCACCAACACTTCTACTCCCACAACACCCACCCCCAACCCTGTCCATGCAGACTTTTGAGTCGACTCAAAAGTCAGCGCTTTCCCCTCACCGACCAATCAACCTGCAGCCTCCCTGCTCCCAACAACACTTCGACTCCCGCAACACCCACCCCCAGCCCTGTCCGTGCAACCCCACAGGCCATGTGTTCTCGCACACACAGAGCTCACTCACCTGGCCCTATTCTGCTGCCATCACGACCTGCTGGCAATCACAGACGAGGTGTACAGTGCTTTCACCTATGGCAGCAACAATACCTCCCTCCTCCCCCCTCCCTCCTGCCTCCCTCCCTCTCACCCTCAACAACTTGCCCCAAACCCCAATTCCCCAATCCACCCCCGCTCCAGTCCGTGCAACCCCACCGGCCGTGTGTTCTCACACACGGAGCTCTCCAAACTAGCAGAGATCTGTTGCCATCACGACCTGCTCGCAATCACAGATGAGGTGTACAGTGCTTTCACCTATGGCAGCAGTGGCGCCGAGCGCCATGTGTCGCTCGCTCATTGGCCGGGCATGAAGCAGCGCTGCATCGTCACCTCGTCTGTGTCAAAAACGTTCCACGTCACTGGTGGGTGGGTGAGTGGGATGGTGGGTGGGATGGTGGGCATGTGATGGCTATGGCTGCTCTCAGCATCTGCATTGGTACACCTCGTCTGTGTCAAAAACGTTCCACGTCACTGGTGGGTGGGTGGGTGGGATAGTGGGTGGGATGGGTGTGATGGGGGTATGGTGGTTGGGTGACAGAGATGGCAGGGTGCGATGGGGTAGGGTAGTGTTGCGGGCAGGGGTGCTTGGCCGGGCATGAAGCAGTGCTGCATCATCACCAAGACATGCACTCTCCATAATCTCTTCTTTTTTATTCCCTCCTCCTCTTCCAGGTTGGCGAGTGGAATGGACCATAGCCCTGCCGCCCATCGCAGCAGCCATCAGAACCATCAGCACCATCGATGCTTGTGCCCATCGATGCTTGTGCCCATCGTGCCCCTCTTCTCTTCGCCTTTCATTTTCTCCGCTGACCCCTCTCATCCCCTCTCATCCCCTCTCATCCCCTCTCGTTTCTTCCAGGTTGGCGGGTGGGATAGGCGGGTGGGATAGGCGATAGGCGGGTGGGATAGGCGGATGGGATAGGCGGATGGGATAGGCGGGTGAGATAGGCGGGTGGGATAGGCGGGTGGGAAAGGCGGGTGGGATAGGCGGGTGGGATAGGCGGGTGGGATAGGCGGGTGGGATGGGTGGGCCATAGCCCCGCCGCCCATCGCAGCAGCCATCAGCACCATCAGCGCCATCAGTGCTTGCGCCCATCGTGCCCCTCTTCTCTTTCCTCTTATGTCTTCCTCTCTTCCCTCCTCCTCTTCCAGGTTCGCGGGTGGGGTGGGCCATAGTCCCGCCCCCCATAGCAGCAGCCATCAGCACCATCAGCACCATCAGCACCATCAGCAGCCATCAGCACCATCAGCGATTGTGGAAAACCGAATTGCTCCCTCCATTCTTGATGTCCTTCGTTTTTCCAGGTTGGCGGGTGGGGTGGGCCATAGCCCCAGCGCCCATCGCAGCAGCCATCAGCACCATCAGTGCCAAGCTCATCGACACTCCTCCAGCCCCCTTCCAGGAAGCTTCTCGTGCTGCACTGTGCCTTCCGCCATCCTACTACACTCAATTGAGAGAGGTATGATTGCATCAGCCCTTTAAACCAATGCCCAGCTTTTGAGTCGACTCAAAAGCAAAAATTGAGAGAGGTATGATTGCATCAGCCCTTTAAACCAATGCCCAGGACTACACCCTCAAGCGGGACACAGCAGTGGCCATGCTGCTGGAAGCGGGGCTCGAGGCGCCTCTCATGTTAGTCTTCTCACATTCCCGAGCTATGGAATTTCATGTGTGCTCCTCTTTCTCTCCATCCTACCCCCAGGACTACACACACAAGCGGGACACAGCAGTGGCCATGCTGCTGGAAGCGGGGCTGGAGGTGACTCTTGTTCCGGAGGGGTCTGTGTTTGTCTTCGCCCGCATTCCCGAGCGATGGGGTGTTGATGATGTAAGCAGAGGCGTGCTGATCATTTAAAGAATGGGAAGTTCATGCAGAGTCATTTTCGTCATTGTTTCCTTATTATTATTATGCTTATCCTGTCACGCTCCTCCCTTTGATCTGCCTGTTGCGCCGCCCCTTTTCTCCCTTCCCTCCCATCCTTCTCTCTCCCCGTCTTCTCTCATTCTCTTCTCTTCTTCTCTCATTCTCTTCTCTTCTTCCTCCCCACTCTCTTGTCCAGCTTCACTTCTGCTCTACAGGCGAGTCACAGAGAATGTGAAGTGGCCTTTTGACGTGCCTCATGATCGGACTTCTCTCTTCTTGCTTTTGAGTCGACTCACAAGTCAACTTTTTAACTAACAACATTTTTTACAAAGTTGAATCAGTCGCAGCCAGGTAAAGACATGGCTCCTATCTGGGGCTCCATTGGACAGGCGAGTCACAGAGATTGTGAAGTGGCCTTTTGACGTGCCTCATGATCAGACTTCTCTCTTCTTGCTTGCTTCTCCATTCTCTCACCCTCCCAGCTTCACTTCTGCAGGCGAGTGATCGAAGAATGCGGAGTGGCCTTCGTCCCAGGTCGAATATTCTTCCACCCCACCCACTCCACCTCACCTGGAAATCCACCTGATAGTTCACCTGACCAACAACCTGAGCACTCACTTGACAACCGAATCCAGCACCAACCTGATCAGCCACGTGGCGTCCTATCAGCCGTTGGATCTATCCCTAGCGATGCAGCCCGTGAGGAGGGGTGTGGCGATGGCGCTGACGAGCATGCAGAGGCAAGGACCAATCTGGTCGTGCCACCTCAGCATCGGTATGTCCGCGTGGCGTTCTGCAAGAGCATGGAGACGCTGCAAGCGGCTCGATTAGCTCTACAGCACATGCAGGGGATGTTTGGTTTGTCTTAGGTTATACGGTAGTACACTGAATGTTCATTATATGCTTCAATGTTCTGTGGTAAGCGACCACAGTAATGGCATGTTTTCGGAACAGATGAGGAGAAGCAAGTTAGTCAGAGCTTCGGATGCACCGTATGTTGCGGTCTTCATGCAATTTATGCGAAACAAATCTCTGATTTTCTGTAAGAACTGGTGCAACACTTAATGAAGCCCTGATGACAACTACCGCCTAGTTTTGACCTAGCAGGCATCTACATGCGAGTAAATGCTCTGTGGGTGGAGCAGCATGCGTGCGGTGCGGCATGTCCAGTGAAGCAAGGATAAGATCCCATCCTGGCAACGGCCTTTCTTTGTGTGTGTGTGTGTGTGTGTGTGTGTGTGTGTGTGTGTGTGTGTGTGTGTGTGTGAGAGAGAGAGAGAGAGAGAGAGAGAGAGAGAGAGAGAGAGAGAGAGAGAGAGAGAGAGAGAGAGAGAGAGAGAGAGAGAGAGAGAGAGGCGCTTCCATAGAAAGCATGCGAATAGTAAGTGCTCCGCGGGTGTTGTGAACAGCAGGCGTGCAATGAGTCGATTTTTGAGTCGACTCAAAAATCGACTCATCACATGTGGGTGTTACTAGTGAACAGCAGGTGTGCTTTCGAGAAGCCTCAACAATAGTAAGTGCTCTACGGGTGTTACAGATGAACAGCAGGCGTGCAGTCACGTTTCGGAACGACACTCATCCCAACACGGCGAGGAGGGGACGGGAGAAACGGCGAGAAGAGAAGCGGATGCGGAGAGGGAAGAAGGGGAGGGGAGGACGAATCGCGGCCAAGTCGGAAAGCAAGCTCTGCTGGCAGCACTGAAGATCAAACAGGCAAGCAAGAGATAGAAAATGGTGACGTGGCTCTTATCCAGTGGTCAGCAACAGCGCCGTCGTCGGTTTGAGTCGCGGCTGGAAAATGGCCGCTGGTCGCGCCTCGTACCAGAACGCAGTTTTTCCTTCCCTGTCGGCGGAACCTCTAGCCATCGAAAACAGTTTTCCTTTTGGGCGCGAAGAAAAAATGGATTCGCGCAATAGCATGATGCTGCTGACTCCAGCCTCCAGCGAGTTCAACGAATGTGTACTACACGTGGGGTTGTCTTGAGCAGCCGTATCACGGATAAGAGCTGGCATGTGGAAATAAGAGCCTCTCATTCTGGGATAACCACACGGGGAGATTCGTACAGTATTCGTGCACGCACGCGCGACGCTCCTGCCTATCCGATTGGAAGAAAAGAAGCGATTTGAAACCCTGAAATTAGGAACACTGCATTTGGTAGCCTAACTTTCGAGGCGCGCATTTTGATAAGGAATCTCAAGATACGTCCGGCGGTCCGGGCGGAGCCGCGTGGTGGGAATGCCAGAGCGGCAGCAATTTTTCATTTACAGTATGTTGGGGGTGGAATGTGTCGTCTGGGTTCGCATAACCTTTCGCGAGGACCATGAGCCGTTCGATAGGACCCCATCGGGTTTCCCATTTTCGTGGTCAGCCCTGCTCTTCTCTCCCTTTCCCCCTCGCTCACTCCCATTTGCCTTCGCGTATATATCGAGGTGTTCGCTCAGTTATCGTTTCGTTTTTCTGCACACTACCTATCGTTTTTCATCATCTGCTGTTAGGACGGGAAGACTTTGCTCTGAATCGCAGTCCTCGATGTAGAGTGTTTTGGTCTTGCGGTGTTTGAGTGTTGCCATCACCCGAAGTCCATACAGACTACATCTCTTCGCAGATGCCCTCTCACGGGACGCCGAGCAGATGAACAAGATCCACATGCCCTCTTCGCGACAGGGACATCGTGTTACCACAATATATTTCTAACACCGAAGCCACTCTCGTTCCTGCGCGTACCCTCCTCGCTGTTCGTCGATGTAGTACTTCGCTAAAGAGTGCTTCGCCTTTCCGAGTCCAAGGAAATTCCGCACTTATAGCCCAAGATCCAAGATGTTGAGTCTCGAGCCGCCGCCACAGCAGCAGCATTTCATCTCGGGCTGCTGTGCTTCGAAGGTAAACAGCCAACCCGAGATGCTGATCTGGCGCGTCTTCCATCAGCGAAATCTTCCACACGAGTGAGCTACTCTTCACGTCGAATCCACATGATCCGCGTGGACAAAGGCGGCGGAGCACGAGCACTCCGCAATTTCACCGAAGACCTGATAACCTGAATGTGGACTCCACAAATGTGCGCCTCGATACGGACAAGCGAACCCAGCCCACCGCCGAGTCGCAAACTCTCGCGCGATCTGGTAACGAGAAAAATTCAATGGTCCGAGACATTTGGGCTCGCTTGGAATTTCTGTGTCCTCGCAGCTCACTCCCTGCAGTATCGTTTGCGCTGGATAAAAAGGTCGAGTCTCGCCAGATCAGTCACACATCCTCCAGTGTTTATTCCATTCAGTTGCCACACTTGCTACTTCTACCAGCTGTGACACCATCGTCGCAGCAGAAGCAGCAACTTGTGGACTGGAATTTTTCCAGGCATATTTTGCCCATCTACTCGCCCATCTGAATCGGTCTTCTGAGAAGAACATGGCTCGTGTCGGGCTTTACCACACTGCATTGGCCTTTCTGGCCATGTCGGTGCTTCTCCCCTGCTCCACCGCGGCGATTGCCAAGGCGTGGGGCGGCGCGCAGCCTCTCGAACCGGTATGTTCATTTAACTTTCTCCGCTCTGAACGTTTTGGAACCATCGTCACGCCAGCCCTAATCGAACTTCACGATCAACACGTGGCAGTAACTTTTCCACCGATATTTCCTGGTACTCTTCGTACGTGGGCTTAAAATCAGCTCATTCTAATCTTTTATTTGAAACCTATCACAGATGGCCAACGCGCTGATCGCCGAGTGGAACAAGAAAGTCAAACCCATCACAAAAACCCCTCGTTTTTGAATCGCTTGGAAACGGGTCGAATTGGTTTCGGAAGTTGGGTTGCGTGGGTTGTCCAACCTTTTTCGCCCAACCACCAGCGTAAATGTGTCATTCTCAGATTTCGATCTGCTTTCGCGCATCCGAACCGACTCGCGAGACATTGTGCGCCTCGGCGAACCGAAATTGGCCCAATTTCGGTCAATGTCAGGTGTACAGTGCTCTTTTGACCAGGTTGAAAAAGCAGTTTCGAGAATGGGGTGCATTGGTTTCCCGCAAATATTTCTGGGTCACCGAGCCACAGCTTTGCTTGGCGCACGACGAGACGTGGCGATAGGGTGCGTTTGGGCCCTGCAAAAATGGTCTCGCATAGGAGTAATTATGGACCAAGATGAGCCTACAGTGTTTCTTGAAAACAAATTTTACATCAAGTCAAAGTTATGTCTTATAATATTGAAAGGCTGCTGGTTAAACAATCACATGTGCATGTACATATATACCATGTACAGTCATTAGTTGTTATTGCATGTAATCTTGCCTCTTAATACAAAACAGGTTTGGTTGCCTATGAAAAAGTACAGATGCGCGTAGGATTTATATCTAATTTAGCATGTACTTGTTAAGATAGAATGCATTTTCGCAGTGGTAAGACTTGATAATGTGCACCTGGCGCAGTATGCTTTCAGTGTCAATCACTGAGTAGCGCGATACCCCAGTTGCCCACCTAAGACGTTTGCACCCTGTTTTTGCATCCTCGCCTGCGCTTGACCAGTACTTCACATATGCCCACTCCTTCGTGCACCCTCTCTCTTTCGTATGGAACATCAACAAGAGCCTTCCGTACCACTCCGTCTCTTCACCTGTCGCTGTTGTTCCCACGATGGCAACATCAGAGAACCACGGCCTAGAGTGAGACAGCGGGGTTGCTTTCACGAAATGTGCTACACGGGCGAAACTCGCATCTTCTGCAGCAGGGATGGCAAGTGTTGTGTGAGCCTGCAACCAGTAAGAGACACAAATCATTACAAAGTAACATTCAGTTACATATGGTATCTGCTTCATGTCACCATTGTCACCACTTACACGAACTTTCGTTGGCCTCAGCTGGCGTCGAAGCAATGCACCCGCAAAGGCATGGTGTGCCTCGCTGTGGAGCTTCGCCCACTCACGGACAAACCAGTTGGCAATGGGAGTGACGTCATCGGGTTTCACGTGGAAGAAGTAGGACTCCTTCACCATCACCCGAGCTCC